CAGGGGTGGCAGGTTTGTATAATTTTCAGTGTTGTCCAGAATGGGTCCAAGTCCCGCCCCCACCCCTCCCCCACTGCTGCCTTGTAAGCTGAGATATATTTTTTAATATACAGTAAGCATTTAACAGTTTTCCTATATTTCACAATGTGAGGGGGCGTGGGGGGATGAGGATTGTGGGGGCATAAGGGCTCTGTGGTGGGGCTGGGGATGAGGGGTTTGGGGTATGAGAGGGGGTCAGAGCTAGGGCAGAGGCTTGGGGTGAGGGCTGTGAGGTGGGGCTGGGGTGAGGGATTTGGGGTGTGGGAGGGGCTCGGGGCTGGGGCAGAGGAGGGGTGGGGATGAGGACTGTGAGGTGGGGCTGGGGATGAGAGGTTCACGGTGCAGGAGAGGGCTCAGGGCTAGGGCAGAGGATTGGGGTGCGGGAGGGGTGAGGGCTCTGGCTGGGGGTGCGGGCTCTGGTGGGGCAGGGCTGGGGATGAGGAGTTTGAGGTGCAGGCAGGCTGCCCTGGGGCTGGGCCCAGAGAGGAGGACTCCACATTCCCCGCAGCCCTCTCCACGCTGGCAGCAGTGAGCTCTGGGGGAGGGGGCCCCCCCCTCGCCCCTGGCAGCACACTCACCCGGTACCGTCACTGCACGTGCTCTTAGGGGCCGGGCCCCTCTGTGGTGGGTGCTGGGGGAAGGCTACCATCATGTGTTCGCCTCCTCCCTCAGCCTGCCCCCGGCGCTGCTTCCTTTTGTAGCCGGCAGGGGAGCACAGCGCAAAGCATCAGGGCAGCCGCCCAGAGGGCAGGCAGGGACATAAAAACATGAGAACGGCCGTACCGGGTCAGACCAAAGGTCCATCTAGCCCAGTAGCCTGTCTACCGACAGTGGCCAATGCCAGGTGCCCCAGAGGGAGTGGACCTAACAGGCAATGATCAAGTGAGCTCTCTCCTGCTATCCATCTCCATCCTCTGACAAACAGAGGCTAGGGACACCATTCCTTACCCATCCTGGCTAATAGCCATTAATGGACTTAACCACCATGAATTTATCCAGTTCTCTTTTAAACGCTGTTATAGTCCTAGCCTTCACTACCTCCTCAGGTAAGGAGTTCCACAAGTTGACTGTGCACTGCGTGAAGAAGAACTTCCTTGTATTTGTTTTAAACCTGCTGCCCATTAATTTAATTTGGTGACCCCTAGTTCTTGTATTATGGGAATAAGTAAATAACTTTTCCTTATCCCCTTTCTCCACATCACTCATGATTTTATATACCTCTATCATATCCTCCCAAAGGGTATGTCTACACTACGGGATTATTGCGATTTTACAGAAACTGATTTTTGGAAACAGATTGTATAAGTCAAGTGCACGCAGCCACACTAAGCACATTAATTCGGCAGTGTGCGTCCATGTACCAAGGCTAGCGTCAACTTCCAGAGCGTTGCACTGTGGGTAGCTATCCCATAGCTATCCCATAGTTCCCACAGCCTCCCCCGCCCATTGGAATTCTGGGTTGAGATCTCAATGCCTGATGGGGCAAAAAACATTGTCGCTGGTGGTTCTGGGTACAGCGCCTTTTTGCGCCTTTTTTCCTGGGTGAACACTGCACTGCAGATGCCATATCACGTCAAGCATGGAGCCTGCTCAGCTCAAGACAGCAGTCATGAACATTGTAAACACTTCGCGCATTCTTGTGCAGTTTATGCTGAACCAGGACCAGAAAAACCAGGCAAGGAGGAGGCGGCGACTGCAGCGCGGCGACGAGAGTGATGAGGACATGGACACTGAAACGGACACAGAATTCTCTCAAACAGCCGGCCCAGGCGCTTTGGAGATCATGTTGTTAATGGGGCAGGTTCTAGCTGTGGAACGCTGATTCTGGGCCCCGGGAAACAAGCACAGACTGGTGGGACCGCATAGCGTTGCAGGTTGGAATGATTCCCAGTGGCTGCGAAACTTTCTCATGTGTAAGGGCACTTTCATGGAACTTTGTGACTTGCTTTCCCCTGCCCTGAAGCGCCAGAATACCAGGATGAGAGCAGCCCTCACAGTTGAGAAGCGAGTGGCGATAGTCCTGTGGAAGCTTGCAACACCAGACAGCTACCGG